AACCTACCCAAACTAGAAACCGTGGATAGACGGCAGCATTCGTGCAAAACTGAAAGCACGAACCACCACATTTAACCATGGCAAGGTGACAGGGAATATGGTTGAATACAAACAGTGTAGTTATTCCCTCCATAAGGCAATCAAACAGGCAAAACTTCAGTACAGAGACAAAGTGGAGCCGCAATTCAACAGCTCAGACATGAGACGTATGTGGCAGGGTCTACAGACAATTACGGATTACAAAGGGAAAACCAGCCACGTCGTGGCTCCCGGACAAGCTAAACACCTTCTTCGCCCGCTTTGAGGATAACACAGTGCCACGGACACTGCCTGCTCCCAAGGACTGTGGGCTCTCGTTCTCCGTAGCCTACGTGAGTAAGACATTTAAGCGTGTTAACACTCGCAAGGCTGCCGGCCCAGACAGCATCCCTAGCCGCGTCCTCAGAGCATGCGCAGACCAGCTGGCTGGAGTGTTTACGGACATATTCAATCTCTCCCTATCCCAGTCTGCTGTCCCCACTTGCTTCAAGATGTCCACCATTGTTCCTGTACCCAAGAAAGCAAAGGTAACTGAACTCAATGACTATCGCCCCATAGCACTCACTTCTGTCATCATGAAGTGCTTTGAGAGGCTAGTTAAGGATCATATCAACTCTACCTTACCTGACATCCTAGACCCAATTCAATTTACATACCGCCCCAATAGATCCACCGACGATTCAATCGCCATCACACTGCACACTGCCCAATCCCATCTGGACAAGAGGAATACCTACGTAAGAATGCTGTTCATTGACTATAGCTCAGCCTTCAACACCATAGTACCCTCCAAGCTCATCATTAAACTTGGGGCCCTGGGTCTGAACCCCGCCCTGGGCAACTGGGTCCTGGACTTCCTGACGTGCCGCCCCCAGGTGGTGAAGGTAGGAAACAACACCTCCACTTCGCTGATCCTCAACACAGGGAACCCACAAGGGCGCGTCCTCAGCCCCCTCCTGTACTCCCTGTTCACCCATGACTGCATGGCAACGCAGGCCTCCAACTCAATCGCCAAGTTTGCAGACGACACAACAGTAGTAGGCCTGATTACCAACAATGCCGAGACAGCCTACAGGGAGGAGGTGAGGGCCCTGGCGGAGTGGTGCCAGGAAAAGAACCTCTCCCTCAACGTCAAGAAAACTAAGGAGCTGATCGGGGACTTCAGGAAACTGCAGAGGGAGCACGCCCCTATCCACATCAACGGGACCAAAGTGGAGAAGGTGAAAAGCTTCAAGTTCCTCGGCGTAAACATCACTGACAATCTGAAATGGTCCACCCACACAAACGGTGTGGTGAAGAAGGCGCAACGGCGCCTCTTCAAATTCAGGATGCTGAAGAAATTTGGCTTGGCCCCTAAGACCCTCACAAACGTTACAGATGTACAATTGAGAGCATCCTGTCGGGCTGTATCACCGCCTTGTACGGCAACTGCACCTCCCGCAACCGCAGGGCTCATCAGAGGGTGGTGCGGTCTGCCCAACACATCACCGGGGGCACACTGCCTGCCCTCCAAGACACCTACAGCACCCGATGTCACAGGAAGGCCAAAAAGATCATCAAGGACATCAACCACCCGAGCCACGGCCTGTTCACCCCGCTACCATCCAGAAGGAGATGTCAGTACAGGTGCATCAAAGCTGGGACCGAGAGACTGAAAAACAGCTTCTATCTCAAGGCCATCAGGCTGTTAAATAGCCATCACTAACCATCTACCACACGGTTACTCAGCCCTGTACCTTAGAGGCTGCTGCCCTATATACAGTACCAGTCAAAAGTTTGGACACACCTACTCGTTCAAGGGTTTTTCTTTATTTTTACTATTTTCTACATTGTAGAATAATAGTGAATACATCAAAACTATGAAATAACACATACAGTGGGGAAAAAAAGTATTTAGTCAGCCACCAATTGTGCAAGTTCTCCAACTTAAAAAGATGAGAGAGGCCTGTAATTTTCATCATAGGTACACGTCAACTATGACAGACAAAATGAGAAAAAAAAATCCAGAAAATCACATTGTAGGATTTTTAATGAATTTATTTGCAAATTATGGTGGAAAATAAGTATTTGGTCAATAACAAAAGTTTCTCAATACTTTGTTATATACCCTTTGTTGGCAATGACACAGGTCAAACGTTTTCTGTAAGTCTTCACAAGGTTTTCACACACTGTTGCTGGTATTTTGGCCCATTCCTCCATGCAGATCTCCTCTAGAGCAGTGATGTTTTGGGGCTGTCGCTGGGCAACACAGACTTTCAACTCCCTCCAAAGATTTTCTATGGGGTTGAGATCAGGAGACTGGCTAGGCCACTCCAGGACCTTGAAATGCTTCTTACGAAGCCACTCCTTCATTGCCCGGGCGGTGTGTTTGGGATCATTGTCATGCTGAAAGACCCAGCCACGTTTCATCTTCAATGCCCTTGCTGATGGAAGGAGGTTTTCACTCAAAATCTCACGATACATGGCCCCATTCATTCGTTCCTTTACACGGATCAGTCGTCCTGGTCCCTTTGCAGAAAAACAGCCCCAAAGCATGATGTTTCCACCCCCATACTTCACAGTAGGTATGGTGTTCTTTGGATGCAACTCAGCATTCTTTGTCCTCCAAACACGACGAGTTGAGTTTTTACCAAAAAGTTCTATTTTGGTTTCATCTGACCATATGACATTCTCCCAATCCTCTTCTGGATCATCCAAATGCACTCTAGCAAACTTCAGACAGCCCTGGACATGTACTGGCTTAAGCAGGCGGACACGTCTTGCACTGCAGGATTTGAGTCCCTGGCGGCGTAGTGTGTTACTGATGGTAGGCTTTGTTACTTTGGTCCCAGCTCTCTGCAGGTCATTCACTAGGTCCCCCCGTGTGGTTCTGGGATTATTGCTCACCGTTCTTGTGATCATTTTGACCCTACGGGGTGAGATCTTGCGTGGAGCCCCAGATCGAGGGAGATTATCAGTGGTCTTGTATGTCTTCCATTTCCTAATAATTGCTCCCACAGTTGATTTCTTCAAACCAAGCTGCTTACCTATTGCAGATTCAGTCTTCCCAGCCTGGTGCAGGTCTACAATTTTGTTTCTGGTGTCCTTTGTCAGCTCTTTGGTCTTGGCCATAGTGGAGTTTGGAGTGTGACTGTTTGAGGTTGTGGACAGGTGTCTTTTATACTGATAACAAGTTCAAACAGATGCCATTAATACAGGTAACGAGTGGAGGACAGAGGAGCCTCTTAAAGAAGAAGTTACAAGTCTGTGAGAGCCAGAAATCTTGCTTGTTTGTAGGTGACCAAATACTTATTTCCCCCTATAATTTGCAAATAAATTCATAAAAAATCCTACAATGTGATTTTCTGGATTTTTTTTTCTCAATTTGTCTTTCATAGTTGACGTGTACCTATGATGAAAATTACAGGCCTCTCTCATCTTTTTAAGTGGGAGAACTTGCACAAATAGTGGCTGACTAAATACTTTTTTCCCCACTGTATGGAATCACGCAGTAACCAAAAAAGTGTTAAACATATCAAAACATATTTTATATTTGAGATTCTTCAAATAGCCACCCTTTATCTTGATGACAGCTTTGCACACTCTTGGCATTATCTCAACCAGCTTCACCTGGAATGCTTTTCCAACAGTCTTGAAGGAGTTCCCACATACAGTGCCTTGGAAAAGTATTAAGCCCCCTTGGCGTTTTTCCTATTTTGTTGCATTACAACCTGTAATTTAAATTGATTTTTATTTGGATTTCATGTAATGGACATACACAATATAGTCCAAATTGGTGAAGTGAAATGAAAAAAATAACTGGGTGTATTGATACTCCATCCAAAGTGTAATTAATAACTTCACCATGCTTAAAGGGATATTCAATGTCTGTTTTGTTTTTTTTTACCCATAACAAAGGGTTGAATACTTACTGACTCAAGACATATCAGTTTTCATTTTTAATTAATTTGTAAACATTTCGAAAAACAATTTCTACTTTGACATTATGAGGTATTGTGTGTAGGCCAGTGACCAAAACAATCTTAATTTAATCAATTTTAAATTCAGGCTGTAACACAACAAAATATGGATAACGTCAAGGGGTGTGAATACTTTCTGAAGGTACTGTAGATGGTGCTGCTGAGAGCATGTTAAATGGCCTTGAATACTTATTACATAACTTTTGCTTATTAGCCTCTATTAGGCCTATTCATAGTTATTAAAGCTAGAGTCCTTCATTTTAACAGTAACAAAGATGATTCCCTGCCTCTGTTTTGGTAAAAAGCTAAGGGATGGGCCTGAACAACCACTCTCAAATTCATAGACACAGCTATGGATGCAAGGACTGACCATCCATTATATCAAAATTATAGTTTTAACCATGTTTTGAGGCTATATAGTGTTTGTTAACATTTACATTGTTTGCAAACATTGGAGTAAAACAAGCTTGTATGTTGGGTTCTGATGGGGTACGTCAGTTTAACTAAGCTCATGAGACATTTGTAAGTTATATTCTTCAAGAATCGATGGGTACATACTATTAATTTATACGTCCAAAATGGATGGAGCAACAGCAGATTTCCCCTTTAAGTAGGCAAGCGGGACAATTCAACACACTTTATATTGTTCTTTAGCAGCTATGCCTACATACTAGGCTAATTATGAACAGGATTTATTACTGTGGTGTTACCCTGATAAGCTAATCCTCATCTTTCCATCATCAATGCTTCATCCACTACAATAACCACTACCACTACGGCTATTACTATACCCAGACATGGGGATGTGTGCCAAAACATGCCACCACAATAATGGGAGGTGGCGAGATGAATACTCCCACACATATCCTGAGACCACCCCAATGTGACAGTCCTGCCTCTCCTGTCTGCACTCTTATCAGTGCATGTATCATGCTCTGGCTGACCAGTTAACAGAGCAGGTGTAAGTGACACACAGAGAGCAGCAGGAGTCAGCTGAGCAAGATGATGATAGAGTCAAAGACAGAGCTCTTCACCGTGGCTGGGACTGACACTGTGGACTCAGGGCCAGGTTCAGAGGTTTTCAACTCCAGAAAGATAGTCACCACCTTTGAGAGATATATCCAGCCGTGCTTGGCTGAGATGGTGGGATGCAGTCTCTTCATCTTCGTGGGATGCGGGTCTGTTATTGAGAATGCCGACGTTCCAGGGAGCATCCAGCCTGCTCTGGCTCATGGACTGGCGCTGGCGAGTGTTATCGCTGTGCTGGGAGAGATCAGGTGAGGACATGCTGACACCTGGTAACATCTCACTCCTCTAAGGTCAGAAAGTATTAGGATGTTTTTATGAATTATTTAAACTTTGGGCTAAAATATAATTTTTTTCCCATGACCTGAGATTTACAGTTATAACGCGTGTATGAATCTCTTTTATCAATGTTTTACTTTTTGCAATGTGATTTTACATCTCCTAATGCATGAGTATCAATATCTAGTATTAAACATGACATGTGTTATTCTGTCTGAATCCAGTGGTGGCCACTTCAACCCAGCTGTGTCTGTAAGTGTGTGCGTCAGTGGAGGACTGGACGTCATGCTACTGGGGCCGTATATACTCTCCCAGATGGTGGGGGGAATGATTGGGGCTAGCTTGGCAAAGGTAAGGGGGCATTCACATCAAGTTTGTTTAGAGCACCTATTAGTAGATGGGTAAAAAAAAAAAAAAAAAGACTGAACACCTCTTTGATCATGGTGAAGTTATTAATTACACTTTGGATGGTGTATCAATACACCCAGTCACTACAAAGATGCAGGCGTCCTTCCTAACTCAGTTGCCGGAGAGGAAAGAAACTGCTCAGGGATTTCACCATGAGGCCAATGGTGACTTTAAAACAGTTACAGAGTTTAATAATGGCTGTAATAGGAGAAAACTGAGGATGGATCAACAACATTGTAATTACTCCACAATACTAACCTAAATGACAGAGTGAAAAGAAGGAAGCCTGTACAGAATAAAAATATTCCAAAACATGCATCCTTTTTGCAATAAGACACTAAAGTAAAACTGCAAAAAATGTGGCAAAGAAATATGTCCTGAATACAAAGCGTTATGTTTGGTGCAAATCCAATACAACACATCACTGAGTACCACTCTTCATATTTTCAAGCATGGTGGTGGCTGCATCATGTTATGGGTATGCTTGTCATCGGCAAGGACTAGGGTGTTGTTTTTAGGATAAAACGGAATTGAGCTAAGCACAGGCAAAATCCAAGAGGAAAACCTGGTTAAGTCTGCTTTCCAAGAGACACTGGGAGACAAATTCCTCGTTCAGCAGTACAATAACCTAAAACACAAGGCCAAATCTACGCTGGAGTTGCTTACCAAGAAGACATTGAATGTTCCTGAGATATTTCTGTATTTCATTTTCAATACATTTGAAAAAAAGCTATTAACTCCATTTTTAATTAAGGCTGTAACACAGCTTTTAGATGGTTGAAAGCATAGTGATAACTAACTTGTGGCTGTCTTTTTGAGTGGGTGAATATAAGTTTGAATCTCATTGATCAACAACTCAACCAAATATTACCCAATTATCCACGTTAAAATGACGTGGTGTGCCGAGTTGGAACGTACTGTGGTTCGCATAAAAGTATAGTCTCGGTCCCGATTCCATTTGTACCATGGTGCAGTTTGCTGCAGGTGAGAACGCAGTCCGGACCAAACACAGGAAAATAACCAGAGGTGCGCAGTAAACTATTGGTTGTTTGACTGTGAGCCTGCATGTAATATCATAACTTCCCACTGGGCACACACTGGTTGAATCAACGTTGTTTCCACATCATTTGACTGAAATTACTTTGAACCAATGTGGAATAGATGTTGAATTGACGTCTGTGCCGAGTGGGTTGATACACTACATGGCCAAAAGTATGTGGACACCCCTTTAAATTAGTGCATTCGGCTATTACTGTTCGTCAAATTTCTGCCCTTCTAGAGCTGCCCTGGTCAACTGTAAGTGCTGTTATTGTGAAGTGGAAACATCTAGGAGCAACAACGGCTCAGCCGCAAAGTGGCCACACAAGCTCACAGAATGGGACCACCGAGTGCTGAAGCGCGTAGCGCATAAAAACCTTCTGTCCTTGGTTGCAACACTCACTACCGAGTTCCAAACTGCCTCTGGAAGCAACTTCAACACAATAACTGTTTGTCGGCAGCTTCAAGAAATGGGTTTCCATCAGTGTGGAAGAACTTGACTGGCCTGCACAGAGCCCTGACCTCAACCCCATCGAACACCTTTGGGATGAATTGGAACGCCGACTGCGAGCCAGGCCTAATCGCCCAACGTCAGTGCCCGACCTCACTAATGCTCTTGTGTCTGAATGGAAGCAAGTCCCCGCAGCAATGTTCCAACACCTAGTGGAAAGCCTTCCCAGAAGAGTGGAGGCTGTTATAGCAGCAAAGGGGGGACCAACTCCATATTAATGCTCATGATTTTGGAATGAGATGTTTGACGAGCAGGTGTCCACATACTTTTGGCCATGTAATGTATCTCTAAAACATTGTTGTTAGTAGCAGTGCATTTATGAGCACATTCGATGCAAATTACGAGAGACCAGGGGCCAGGGCTGGTTGTCACACTTTTTACTGTGTATATTTCTCAACATCAGTAGGCCTATATTGTATGAGACTATTTTCAACAAGAAAGCAAGGTCTTGGGTTGAAATGGGCACCCTTTTGGACTTTGCACATCAAACACACTGTACGTTGGAAATGAATAAATGAATGTGGGCTAGCCTACAGTCTAAGAAATAGTCAAAAATAGACAATAGACAATATTCCTAACAAAATTCAACAGCTTATACTTTGTAAGTATAACTTTTTACATAATCACTCCTAACTAGGAATAAAGGCTATAGTACGGGTGCTGAGGGTGCCGCAGCACTCCCTGAAAAATCAGAATAAAAAAATTATAATATATATACAGTACCAGTCAAATGTTTGGACACACCCACTCATTCAAGGGTTTTTCTTTATTTTTACTATTTTCTACATTGTAGAATAATAGTGAAGACATCAAAACTATGAAATAACACATATGGAATCATGAAGTAACCAAAAAAGTGTTCAACAAATCAAAATATATTTTAGATTTTAGATTCTTCGAAGTAGCCACCCTTTGCCTTGATAACAGCTTTGCACACTCTTGACATTCTCTGAACCAGCTTCACCTGGAATGTTTTTCCAACAGTCTTGAAGGAGTTCCCGCATATGCTGAGCACTTGTTGGCTGCTTTTCCTTCACTCTGCGGTCCAACTCATCCCATACCATCTCAATTGGGTTGAGGTCGGGGGATTATGGAGGCCAGGTCATCTGATGCAGCACTCCATCATCCTTCTTGGTCAGATAGCCCTTAAACCGCCTGGAGGTGTGTTGGGTCATTGTCCTGTTGAAAAACAAATGATAGTCCCACTAAGCGCAAACCAGATGGGATGGCGTATCGCTGCAGAATGCAGTGGTAGCCATGCTGGTTAAGTGTGGCTACTACAGGTGGGAACCACACATGTGGAGATCATCCGTTCACCTACTCTGCGTCTCACAAAGACACAGCAGTTGGAACCAAAAATCTCAAATTTGGACTCATCAGACCAAAGGACAGATTTCCACCGGTCTAACGTCCATTGCTTGTGTTTCTTGGCACAAGCAAGTCTCTTCTTATTATTGGTGTCCTTTAGTAGTGGTTTCTTTGCAGCAATTCGACCATGAAGGTCTGATTCACGCAGTCTCCTCTGAACAGTTAATGTTGAGATGTGTCTGTTACTTGAACTCTGTGAAGCATTTATTTGGGCTGCAATCTGAGGTGCAGTTAACTCTAATGAATTTATCAATTTACATTTACATTTTAGTCATTTAGCAGACGCTCTTATCCAGAGCGACTTACAGTTAGTGAGTGCATACATTTTTTAAAAATATTATTTTCATGGCCCCCCGTGGGAATCAAACCCACAACCCTGGCATTGCAAACGCCATGCTCTACCAACTGAGCTACATCCCTGCCGGCCATTCCCTCCCCTACCCTGGACGACGCTGGGCCAATTATCCTCTGCAGCAAAGGTAACTCTGGGTCTTCCTTTCCTGTGGCGGTCCTCATGAGAGCCAGTTTCATCATAGAAGGTTTTTGCGAATGCACTTGAAGAAACTTTCAAAGTTCTTGAAACTTCTTGTCTTAAAGTAATGATGGACTGTCGTTTCTCTTTGTTTATTTGAACAGTTCTTGCCATAATATGGAATTGGTCTTTTACCAAATAACTTCTGTATAGCCCCCCTACCTTGTCACAACACAACTGATTTGCTCAAACGCATTAAGAAGGAAAGAAATTCCACAAATTAACTTTTAACAAGACACACCTGTTAATTGAAATGTATTCCATGTGACTACCTCATGAAGCTGGTTGAGAGAATGCAAATAGTGTGCAAAGCTGTCATCAAGGCAAAGGGTGGCTACTTTGAAGAATCTCAAATATAACATATATTTTGATTTGTTTAACACTTTTTTGGTTACTAAATGATTCCATATGTGTTATTTCATAGTTTTGATGTCTTCACTATTATTCTACAATGTAGAAAATAGTAAAAATAAAGAAAAACCCTTGAATGAGTAGGTGTGTCCAAACCTTTGACTGGTACTATATGCATTTTTTAATCTCACAACGGTAGTGCACTAGGACTTTATTACTCCTGTATTAGTGGAGTAGTGGCTCCACTAATCTTCCTGTGGCTATGGCCTATGATGCTAATGTCTACATGGCATGTAGTAGAAACAGTTTAGAAATCAGTTTGAAATATGCTAGCTACAGCTCTTCCTTTCCTCTTTTCAACAATATAAATAATTGTTTCATTGATAGCCTACTCCTATAATTCAAACAATTAAAATACCAAGACATGTATGTTTTACTTTCACCTGATATAAAAACACAGAGTCCCTGCTCCTCAATATTTAGATATGCAAATACGAATTGACCAGATGAACCTCCTGCAAAGAGGTCGCACATATTAATCATAAAATTACTGAGTTACACAGCACCCTCTAGATTGGGAGTAATAGGCGAGGTAAGTACCAACCCATGATGAGAGAACCAGCCACAGTCTTCCCTATTCACTGCACTTTGCAGTTATTATAGAGCGGTTATTGCGCTGTTTCCTCTCATGTTACAAAGCGAATGCAATATGAAGATTGGGACACAAAAGTGATGCTCCATATGATCAAAGATGGATTTAACGTGAGCATTTCTGTCCACTAAACAAATTACTTGCATCACACATAGTTTTATATAGCCATTCTCAACATCAGTAGGCCTATATTGTATGATACTATTTTCAACAAGAAAGCAAGGTCTTGGGTTGAAATGGGCACCCTTTTGGACTTTGCACATCAAACACACTGTACGTTGGAAATGAATAAATGAATGTGGGCTAGCCTACAGTCTAAGAAATAGTCAAAAATAGACAATAGACAATATTCCTAACAAAATTCAACAGCTTATACTTTGTAAGTATAACTTTTTACATAATCACTCCTAACTAGGCATAAAGGCTATAGTACGGGTGCTGAGGGTGCCGCAGCACCC